ATAAGATGGTAAAAGAAATAAAACGTTAATAAATACTGTAATAACTTAACAACTAGATACAGCAATATAAACAATGAACTTCCAAATGAAAAATTCAATAATCAAATCCCTCATGGAAAAAGGTGAAGTTTTGCCTTTTATGCGCCCTTAACAATATTTTCGCATGCACTTTGAACGGTGGGAAACCTGAACTTAAAACCCAGCTCCTGGGTCCGCTGTGGAATCACTTTTTGCCCCTCAGTGATCATTTTCGCCCTTTCTGCGCCCAGAAGCAAATTGAAGACAAAGCTGGGAACTGGTATGAAAGCTGGACGGTTTAATGTTTTCGCAAAAGCCTGTAAAATAATTTGGTCTGTTGTTTGATAAGCTTGCATAATTAATGATCGAAACTAAGACCAAGCAAGCGAAAACTTACATTAGAAAACTGTTTATTCGAGCAGACTTGTGGGGCGACGCCATTCAATACACCTTCCACCTGGTTGTTTTCGATGCAAAATATGATAAGATCCACTAAATCGGCTATGTGAATCCAGGGCATGAATTGAGCGCCATTGCCGACTGGCCCTCCTAAGCCCAGGATGAAGGGAAGATATAGCTGCTTGATCATGCCGCCGTCCCTGCCTAAAATTTGCCTAGACAAGCCGCTTTATTTAGGTATTTCTCCTAGAATTACCTAATACTACGCCACTTCTAATTGCGACTACTCGGCACTGGTTTTTCGCGGCTGAATCTAGAGCGGCGGCCTTTTCCCACTCGATGACTAGTTTGGAGAAAAAATCAAACTGCCTGATGTTGCTGCATTCAGTATACTCAGCCTCGGGGTCTGGCTTATACGCCCCCACACCTTAAGGGCCAGCTACATCATTAACTCTCAGTCTACATAGTTTATAGGAGCTAATACCTGACATGCTAATGTAAACCTTTGGCTTCTTCAAGGAGTTATTAATAGCCTTGGCCAATGACGCAGTGGTATTTATTCTAGAGCTGAAGACATTCTGCTTAAAACCAGCAGTCCAGCGTCGCTTGAAGTCCATTACATTTTGGCCTAGATAGAGCGAGATAAAGTAGGGCTTGCAAGCAGAGAGCAAACCGCATTTACCTGCCAAATTGACCACAGCCACGGTGTTTTCCGGAAGGCCTCGGGCGCCAATTTCGTGCCACGATACGTTACGAGGCCCCGGCATTCTGGACACGATTTTTACTCCATAGTTTTTGCTGCTTAGGGCTTTAGTGAGGTGAGTGCCCACAAAGCCTGAGCCCCCTCCTAGAAATCCAATGCTATTACCGAGGGCTAGCCCGATAGCAAGAACCTACCTACTAGAACAGTGCCAGACATTTTCCGCGTCTTTTCCTACTTCATTCTGCCTGAGTTTTGCGAAAAAAATAATTTACATAACTTGTAAACAGAGCTTTTGTTATGACATTTACTGTGACATTTACCTTAGTCAGTAGAACTCTACTATATCCGGGCTGTCGCCTCTGTTGTTTCTGACCCGGTTGCTCATAGAAACACTTAGGAGCGAAAAGGATGATGAGGTTACCCGACTAGATTCGCTCACTCTGACTTAAGTTGCAGCAGTATGTGTAGTGTGCACATAAGATGGACCAATGAACGCTCTAAGTGGAGACCCATGTGGCCCTATGTGGGCCAATTGTGTTCACACACGACGCAAGCCACGTTCATCGGCTCTGGAGTGAGAAGGTAGATAGGGACATCTTAATGGCGGAGAAGGACAGGGGGAAGATCCCGTAGGCTCGGCCCTACTTGATAATTGCTTCTGTCGGGGAATATTTTGCGCTGGTTCGTCCGACTTTGCGCCTATCCGGGTTGGGTCTATCCTTGTCTGTTGCACGCAGGGGATGGCCACGAGTATTTGCCGTCCCTATTTAGAGCAGGTAGGGGGACGGGTTACTGTTGCTCGGTTCCGGTCAATGAGGTGCCGATTGCCGATGTGTTTTTGACATTAACATACAGTTTCTTTTGGTAAGGGAGCCTGCGAATAGAAGTCGCGAAATGAAGAGTGTCCAGTTTTTATCCATATTTTTCTTCCTGGGAGCGTTTGCTCTTGCCGATGAAGATAAAATTGAAACGGAAGATGGAGTTTTAGTTTTAACCGAAGGCAACTTCCTCACAGCCTTTAAAAAACACGACTACATCCTAGTGGAGTTTTGTAAGTATATTTCCTGTCCTAATTGCATCAGCTTTGTTCTAAATATATTGCTTGATTCATTCAGTTTTTTATGCGGCGAAAAACAAGCCGAAAAGTTCATATGTGTGTTTAGGTGACAGCTTACTAGCATTACATTATTGGTCACATATTTTACATTCTTTTGCTGGTTTTTACAGTTATTTTCTGCGTTTTTTCACTTCGTCATTCATAGTTGGTTTGCACTGTGAAACTGCACATTTTCTGCTCGAGCACGAAGTGAAGAAGTTCTTGCTTTATTAGGGTCTTATCGAGTGTATCTGGATACTGAGTATGCTGATGGTAAGAGGAGCAAAAACTCTTCAGAAGAGCATTTTTCTCAGAGAGACCATGCTTCTATCAAATGATCGGGTGTCATATTCCGGGATCCCTAAGGAACTTTGCAATTCACACAAGCTGAATAATGATCTGGATAATAAGGCAGGATTTGGTCCCTTTAATTAAATGCAATCTGCATCAGTAGGTGCAAGGACTGAAAAGGCGGTTTTTTCACGCTCAATTATGTTGGTTTCTGCTGCAAATCTTCCAATTGATCGTGGTGGTTAAAGCATCTTTAAGTCTTCCACTTTTTGCGACTCCAAGATAATGTAAAAGGGGGTAAAAAATTATAATAAGTTAGTATTAAGCATTGTCAGCACCTTTCCGGTCAAAGTGAAGCGGAGAAGTATCTTGGTGGAGAGTAAGAGAACGAAAAATGCATCGGTTCTCATTTTCTTTTATTTTGCCGATTCCTCAGTTGGAAAATTAGTAATTGCTGATTTTTGACAACCAAAAATGCAATAAATGTTCGTTTTTCATCATAATGGACATTTTTCTGGTAGGTTTTTAATTCACAAGCAATGGTTAGTCCGCAATCTTTATTAGTACCATTAGTACCATGAAATCACTTAGAAAACGATTTTTTAAAACAAGTAGTTAATTATTTTCAAGGAATTTCTTCAACTGATCGGTCGAGCTATTAGTGGGACGATTTTAATTTTCTCTCTTTTGCTCCCAAAATCAACCAAATACATGTAAAAAGTTTTGAAAAAATCAAAAAAATTTTGAATTTTCTTCAGCATTGTCAGCACCAAGAAAAATCTACGTTTGAGAGCAGTGATGAACTTGCGTTTGCTGAAAGTAACGAATCAAAAATTCTTCACATTCATTTTGCCTAATTGGGGACATTCGGTTAGTTATCTATCTGGTATTTCCGGTTAGCCTTTTTCAACTGAGCATTCAAGCGATTTTTATACACAATTCAATATAAAAATCAGGCATGAAAAGAAATGTGAAAATTTTCCGAAACTAAAGAAAATTCCAAGTTTATCAAATGATGCGCTTGTCGCGCTTTCTTGCCAAAAAACACCGGCTCCATTTGATGGGTTATAGAGCTCTAGTGAATTTCTTAGTGTTTTCCTTTTTAATGCTCCATTATGCATTGCATCTGTTAGTCAACCTTCAATCTTCAAAAATAGCAATTTCCGAAAACGGTCCCGAAGTAGGTACCGTTGAAAATAGTAGTGATTACACCGAACAATTTTTATATGTTTAACAGAAAGTTTATTGACCTTTCTGACTACGTATCGCTTCTACTAGCCGGCCAAATAATGGATGACTGTATTTGCTGACTTCGCTTCTTTTCTTGCCTACTAAACTAGGAGTTTATCAGTCGAACGCCTAATTTTTTAAATTACCTGGAAAAATAAGTACTTTTAATTATTTTCAAACCACTCAAGGTGTTTGCACAACAAACTTGTTAACGGTTTTTATCTCCTAGTGAAGCATAACTACTGGTTCGAATGGATGTTTTGAAGGATTTTGAAGTGATTGGCTTATAAAACAGTTTTAGCGATAAGGGAGGCCACAAATCGCAAGTTTCCCATTAATGGTTATTTTTTGCATGGATACCAAAACACGCCTGGTTAATTAAATTGAACGGATTATTTTTATGTTCAAGGTTATTACATATATATTTTTAAATTTAGATGCTCCCTGGTGTGGACACTGCAAAGCCCTAGCTCCGGAATATGCAGCGGCAGCGAAGATTTTAGAAGAACAAAAGTCAAATATTAAGCTTGCCAAGGTTGATGCCACAGAAAATCAAGATCTAGCCAAAAAATATGCAGTTCGAGGCTACCCTACGTTAAAGTTCTTCAAAAGAGCATACCAGATAGACTATACTGGTGAGTCAGACTATCGGTGAAAGCCATTCAGGATTAAACCTACCTGACTGAATAAATTATCTCAAATATTATAAGTTGTGAAAAATTCCCAATTCGCTCTGAAGGTTGATCTCTCTTGTGTTTACGCTATGTAAAAATTTGAAGTTACTACTCAAGTGGGTTCGGGAGTTACGAATTTTTCTTTGTCTGAGGGGTGGAATTTTGGAAGACTTCCTGCAGGCTCAGTGTTTATACTTGCTTTATATCATTGCGAAAAATTTGCGGATGACCCGATTTGAGCGCAATTCGGTCTGAAAATTGCTGTCTCATGTCTCCTCTGTGTAGCAATTGGAAATCGCTACTCTAGTCTAGTTCGGGAGTTTAAACCGTATTCAGTTTTCTTAGCGCATTTTATTTAATAGCAGCACTATGAATCCTTAGAGTCCTCAACTGTCGCCCTATAAGCAGTTTAATTTGCAAGTGGATGCGAACGCTATTCAGTTCCAACAGTTCAAATTTGAATATGCACGTTATAACGCCGATCCTGCACATTCGACCGTAGAAAACACTGTAAAGCTGCTAAAAATAATCATATTTTAGTGTTCGTAAAATGCAAATGTAGTTTTATTCGGACCTTGCGATAATCTAATAAACTCGTTGGCACCCACGTGCGCAGCACGCCTGTGTCTAAAGCGATTACAAGTGTGTTTAGCCAATTGCAAGAAGGACGGCTTTTTACAGGTTTATTACTTATTGTCGATTGGTTTACAGGAGGCAGAAAGGCTCAGGAGATCGTGGACTGGGTCGTCAAGAAAAGTGGCCCCCTATTTAAACAATTGGAATCAGTCGACGAGGCCAAGGCTTTTATAGAAAACTCACAGATAGCAGTAATTGGATTCTTCACAAATCTAGATGGCAGATTTCATGGCGCATTTAATCACATCATAGAAGATGTTGATGAAGTTGAATTTGGCATGACTTCCAACCCCGACGTATTGGCTGAATACAAGATTACAGAGGACACAATATTGATGTTCAAGAAGGTCTATGTTCTTAGTAATTTCTCGGCAATTGCCTACAACAATTTTTTCCTGTACAGTTCGACGAAGAAATTGTGAAATATGAGGGAGATGATATCTATACGAATATTAAAAGATTCATCGCAATCAATGCCCTGCCTTTCTTGGTAGAATTCAACCAGGAAACTGCACAAAAGATATTCGGCGGCGAAATTAAAAACCATTTGCTGTTGTTTTTGAAAAAAGGTGAGTTGCTTGAAGCCCTACTAAAACTTGTAATGACAAACTATTTAAAGATGATGAGGACTATCAAAGAATTACCGAGGCTGCAAAGAGCATCGCTAAGCCCTTCAGGGACAACGTGCTTTTCGTAACCGTCGATGCCACTGAGGAAGATCACCAGAGGATTCTTGAATTCTTCGGGATGAAATCTGAAGAAGTTCCAGCCGCTAGGTGCGTATTTGCCATCATTGCACCAAAAAACAATGTTTACGTTGTTTTGCCTTTAGATTGATCCATCTTGCCGACGAGATGGCCAAATACAAGCCACCAACGAACGAACTGACCGCCGAAAGCCTGAAGAATTTCGTTCAAGACTTTTTGGATGGCAAATTGAAGCAGCATCTTCTTAGCCAACCTTTGCCCGAAGACTGGGACAAGGATGATGTAAGAAACACTTTATGCCAATAATCATTTCTATTAACTTTAGTGATGGTGCGTTTTTATTTAGGTGAAAGTGCTGGTGTCTGAAAACTTCGACAGCGTCACTTTGGACAAAGATAAAGATGTGCTGGTTGAGTTCTACGCTCCCTGGTGCGGACATTGCAAGCAGTTGCTGCCCATTTACGAAAGACTAGCCAAACACTACAAAGATAATCCCAATGTTGTTATTGCTAAGATCGATTCTACTGCCAACGAATTGGAGGACCACAAAATCCTCAGCTTCCCTACCATTAAGCTCTTTAAGAAGGAGACTAACGAGATTGTGTCCTATGTTGGGGCTAGGACGTTCGAAGGTAAATCCTATTGCTTTTTTGATTTATTTCAAATGTTCATTAATTCTCAAAGTAATTGAATTGTTTTCATTGTTCCAGCATTGCTGAAATTTGTCGACACTGGCAAGGAGGAAGATGTGCACGGCGAAGCACCAGAATACACGCCAGAAGAAGAAGACATTGTCAGAGACGAACTCTAAGTATAGCCGCAATTTAATTTTCAAACTAAAATGTCTTATTCTAGAATAGGTTACTTGGAGTAAATTTTGTAAAAAGCGGCATATGCGATGGAGCTCTTAAGGACATTCACTGGCTATTTTTTTTATAGAGAAATAGTGAATGGACTTTATGTTTTGTAATGATTGTGAAGCGCAAAGCGGCTTTTTCAACCGGTTTCTGTGACATCTCGCCAAATTAATTTAATAGACAGAAAATGTTGAATCTCCATTTTACGTCTGTATATTCGTACTTCCATTTACGGAGACACTCAAATTTGGAAATCGCCGTTTTACTCATAGTTACGTTGTTTATTGTGAGATTTTTAGTTTTCGTGCTGTCATTTTTGCAGGTCTGGGCCCGGAACATGGAAAACCATGCTTGTAAGTGCAATTAAACCTAAATTGATTATGCCTACTTGCTGGCATACTATTGTCGATTTTTTACTTTTATATTAATTGTTTTGTTAACTCTTCGATATTTTAATGTTTTTCTAACAGTAACGTATTTTGCCTCGTACATATTTATTCCATTACAAGCACAAGCAACTATATCAATTAAACATGTGTATATACAATTTGAGATCAGCTGTTTTTCTTTTTTTAATGGATGCGTGAGGAATTTATTAGTGAATAAAATGTGTCTGAATAATCCTCAATAATCACTGGCGTTTTATTTACCCGAATTTTTCTTTGCTGCAGAATCAGGAATACGTGAGTTTTTCATCATTTATCAGTATTTCTGCAAGATTCTCTGTGAAAATTAAATTATCGAGATCCAAATAAATAGGCCAACTAACTTTCTTTCTTGGAAATATTATGGACGAAACCCTAATAAGTATTTCTAGGTATTCTTCCAAAAATATCCCCCGAACTGAAAAAGCGAAAGTTTGACAGAAACGATTTATTTGGAAAACTCTTGGAAACTGGGGTTTCTTCACTTTTGGATCAATATTTCTAAACAACACTGTCTAAACAGAAAATTCCAGTTTCGGGTCTCGTCAAGCTTTAATAAATGACTTATAACTCACTAACCGATAAGTTATAACTCGTTAACTCAGAGACCGGCAACAACTCAACACAGTGTTACCCAGGCCTATTAGAAAGTGGTTAATTAAATAACATGACAACATTGTTGAGTTAACTATCTGGACTTTATGGAGAGGCAAAAGCCTAAACTTGCCATTGATTATAATGCTTCAATCAACGATCCCTTAATGAGTAAATAATTCCCCATTAAGTATATAGTAAGAAGCCACTTAATGTCATTTTGCTGAAGAAACCGTCCAGGGAATTATGTGTAATCTTCCTAATAGAAAAGCAATTAGAAGAAGAGAAAACCTGCAATTCGTTTTCTTGATGTGGCGCATGCATTGAAGCAACCCGTAAAAATGCTGTTCTATAAAATTGTAGAAAAAAATGATGATTTTCCGAAAAACAAAACCGTTATATTTTTTCAAACTTCTTGTAATCAAAAAAATATATAAAAACCGTTATTCTTGAGTATTTTTGCTAAAAACCGCAAAATGTAACAAGAACTTTTTCTGAAGCCTCATTTCATAAAAATTTAAATAAGCCGCAAACCCACCGTCTATACGTTGTTTTGGCAAAACTAACGGCTGTGCTAGTGGCTTTTGAACCTTTGGGTACCGATTTCCTCAATACTTAAAAAAATTGCTATTTTTTGAAGAGAATTAGCTGAACAAGCAAAAACAGCAGACAATTTCTCTATTACAATTTGCCTGATTTGCTGAGGAACCAGCAAACTACGCAAATCGCAATCTACATCTGAACCAAACAAAAACCTGTTTCCAAATAGGCAAATTCACTGGTCAAAAAAGCGAAACAACGCATTACTAATAACATGTTCGTTGCACCCATCATTCATCACATTATTGACGGTCAAAGTCGTCATCTACGCCGTACCATCGCCTGGTACCATAATTCTGAACACCCAAACGACAACACTGGGTCTATGCAGATACAGAATATAAGTAGTACCGGCCTCGGTACCACCCGGTACCAGCCGCATGGAAAGACGCCGGGTCACCGGAGTACCATCGCCGAGGTACCACGAGAATTCAATGGGTTCTCGCCCTGATGCCAACATTACTTAACCAGCCCGATTAGCGCTTGATTGTTCTCTTTGGCTTCGACTAGGTACCGTTTGGTTTAGGCTCTTATGGATAAAGCTTCCGAAGATGCGAGCAACAGAAGAAAGCTCTCAATTTGGCTTTTTACCAGCAAATAAATTAGGAAAAACTGTTTTCTGTGATTTTCAGATTCTCGAACATACATTTAGAAGATTATTCTTCGATGCGAATTTTTAATTATACAGGGTAGCCCAAAATTATAACACAATAACACAAAAGCTTCCCCTTAAGTGCTTAGTTTACGAGATTCATATACGTGTTTTTAAGTCATATGCTGCATTTTACTCATCAAATAACTCGAAAACGAAGACAAATGCGAAACAATGCAAAATAAAAAAAGTTTCCAAATTGATTGGAGAATTAACATTTTTAGAAATAAAGCTCCAAGGGTGCTTCACCAAGAAGAAGTAAAAGGGACGAAGCACCCACAATCCGTTAAACGAATGAAATTTAGGGAACACCCTGTATAATCAGCCAAGCTCAAAGGTTTGGCAACAGGGATTTAATGAATTATTTACCGATATGGTAATGAGTTTTATTACATGGATATTTATATGGGCGTATGTTATTTTTAAATCGATATTCCGTAGGGGTTTTGTAATTTTTATAGGGGATTCCGCACCTGAACCGGTCACGGTTTCGGCCAGTTAAAATAATGGTTTTCGTTTGTTAGAAAAATTCTGTTTTCAACAGATTCCTGGTTGAATCATTGTTAGGTAAACAGCGTGTTTTTTCCCGTCTTTGCGAACAATCTAACAAAAGCCCAAAGAAATTACGGTTTTTCAAGGTTCCCTTGGTGATTGCTTCCTCTAGAACATGATTAGACTCATTTGCACGCATAGATTTTCGCAAAAAACGCAAATCGCAACGGTTCATTCGCTTTTGGTATGCCCAGAAACAAATTAAACGATTTGAACTTTCACGATTTCGTAATGGCCAAAGTTATATATGTATTTGAAAACGTAATGAGTTTTAAAATTGTTTAGTTAGACTTGGGCAACTTTCTCAGCTTGCAATGTGAATATTTATGTTCGATAATTATTTTCAATAATAATATCAGTAATTCGAGCCGAGTATGCACAAATTGAGTGCGAATTTCCTTTGAAAAACCTGCGAAAATTTGGGAGGTTTTTGTGTATTTACATGGCTGGAAAGTGCTCTAGGGTTTTCATAAATCGGAAGGAAACGGCGAAAAAAAAGCAAGAAAAGATGCAAAAAATCGTGAACTCACTTGAACAGGATGAATCTTCAAATGTTTGCAGAAACTGGGTTTTTCGCAACTATTCTTAGTGAACCGACAAAAAAAAACAGGAGCAGACGAGAGTGAAATTCTGCAGATTTTTGAATACGCAGGCAGACTTTTCAAGATTCGTCAATTCCAAACTACTTCAGGTCGAAACTTGAAGTTTTCGTCTCTACGTAGAGACCCAAATGCCCATATTATTAGTCATTTGAAAATGTTAAAACTCGTTCAACTTTGAATAAGAAATTTAAAAAATGACGGAATTTCCTTCTGCGAAGAGATTTGAAACAAATTTAATGTGAAAAACATGTAGAAAGAAGTTTTGAAAAGGTCCTTTAAAACTTAAAAAATAGAAATTTGTTGATAATTTTGATTCAAATATTTTTGCACTTTTGCTGGTCAGATGCATTTTGTACACCAAATTAAAATTTTTCAAGTTTCACGCGTAAGCATGAAGAAGCTTAAAAATCCCGTGACCCACTGAATAACGGGAAAATTTAATTACAAAATCTGTAATTTTTGGAAAGTTCCCAATTTTAACTCAAAGAAACGAACATTAAACATTTTAAACATTTTGCTGAAGACATTTGCTTTAAAAGGCGCCTTCCAGAAGAAATTTACGCTGTTAAATCGTCTACAAAGTAGTCAACAAATTGAAGCTTCAATAAAGTTTAAAGCGTAAAACGTTCAATTGCATGWTTTTCTACTAAAAACGATCAATTCAAATGTCCATTTGTTGAATTAGTCGATCGACTAAAGATTGATATAAACGGCAACAATTTTCCAAAAACCCATGTGTTTATAGCGTTCTTTGAACTTGACTGGCAGCAATGAAATGATAATTGACTGTGCGAATGGGTCACAAAACAGCAATTAAGAAATTGAAAATTAATTCAGGAAAACTTACAGAAGCTCTAAGAAAGACAACGAACAAGCCAAAGTCCATCACGATTCTGGRTCATTTCTGGCAAGAAACTTGGMAATTTTTTAATCAAAACTATCATAAARACATGTTTKTGTCTGATTAGATGCCACAAAAATTTGTTGTTCGGTCCAAGTAAATAAATAATGGACAACTTAACAAACACAACCATCCATCCGGTTTGGAATAGCGGATGAGTCCACTGTTTCTTAATATTGTTTCATGAGTTTTTAATTGGTGTATGCAGGGCAGGATTGATGGCATTTTTTTTCAGACAAAAATCGATTAGTTCGAAGCAGATAAACCAATGGAAATGTGAAGTTATTTCATAGTCCACTTTGTGAGAGTGTGTTTAGTCATCAAGTTCAGATAAATTTAATGTTCTTGTACAGGAATTTAGAAGCCTTTAAAATAACTAGCTGGTAGATTTATTGAGTTTAACGAGATCTTTTGCCATTGAAAGTTTTGCACTTTCAAGCCAACTTTTAGAATAAAAAAAAACAAATTTGCTATAATTGTGAACATTGAGCAATGGCAACTAGTTTTTCGTTTGAAAACTTTCGGAATTTAATCGCTGAATTTTCTGCAGTTTTCTTAATTGTGTTTTATCTGGAATAATCACTGGACGCTAAGTTTCGCGCTGATGAAAGCTTAGTTAAGAATAAGCGTTTCAAACAAACCGAATTTGCAGAACAGCCCGAAGTTATCGCAACTTTCTTAGCTAAAACAGTCCAAAATGAAGAAGTTTTCGTCGATATTCAAAGAGATAGACTTTCGAGGCCATTCCTTGAAACTAGTGGGTTTTTCGGGTTTTTAGGCCGGCGTAAAATGGAATTTCTTCCTGAGATTCGCTTGCGAAAAACCCACTAGTTTCAAGGATTGGCCTCGAAAGTCTATCTCTTTGGATATTAGGTTACCGTTAAAGCCGTTTAAAATACAAACGTTTTCGAAGATCGTCTTTAAAATGTAGACTGCAAAACTTTTTTCAAGAAAAACCTATTTATTAAAAGTGGCTAGAGATTTGAGGACGATAAGTGAAACTAAATACAACTTCGCATCCACGACGTAACTTTCGCTCTTAAGAGCTTTCAAAGTCTCCCTGATCTTTAGCTGGAAGCCCTGAAGTTATTTATTGATTTTGAGGAGTGATTAAGGTTCAATAAGCCACTATAAGGGACATAGAAACCATAAAACGCACCAAGAAACAAAAAAGTAGCATTATACAAGCCGGAGTGAAGAAAACTAGAATAATCATTGTTTTTAAGGATCGGAGAAGGCTAAAGGCAATGAATTTCAGAACCCAATAGACAGAACCTTCGACAAAACACAAGGCAAAAGTGTGACTTCCACGCTCAATCAAGTAATAAGTCAGGAATATCCTCAATAAAGACGCACTTTCACTTAAAGATAAGGATTTTCCCATGCTATTTCTGCACCTTTGATGTGGAAAAGCCGGCTGCTAGGCAATTAGCTGCGGTTATTAAAATTCATACAATTTCTTCGATTTATGCAAATCTTGTGAAACAATCCTAACGAGTCTTTTTATTTTAATTAAGCCGCTACTTGAAGAATCCGTTCATTAGCCAAGTGGGTTCAGCGATCATAATCCAAGCTGAAAAAGCTATCGGCCAATGGAATGAAGAAGAATCTACCGAGTTACCGTGTCGCACTTTATCAGCAACGAACGGAAACGTTCTAATGGTACTTTGGTTCGCCCGGTACAAGAATACATTAGAGTCTTATCAATTCTCCTATTGTGATCCAAAACGAACCCAGAACCAGCAGACAGAGACCTGCGGTACCAAAGCAGAATTTACCTGTTTAAACACACAGCGAATCGTTTCGAAAACATTTTCCGATCATCCGACTCATCAACGGGAACCTTATGTGAACCGTGCAGGTACCACTTATTAAGTCCATGGTACCAGCCGAATATGCAACGAAGCAGAGTGAGAAGGAGAGGTGAACGAGTGGAGATTATCCTTCGGAAACGTTGTGGAGAGTTAGAGAAAGGTAAAATACAGCGGAGCGAATTTCTTGTCAGTCGTTTGCCGGCTTTTGTTTGTGTTGGATGACGTCGAAGTGAAACTGTGCGGGAAACTCGACACGTCAGACTCGAAAGTTTCCGTGTTTTCCGGCAATTTCGCTCAGCGAAAAACTGTTCGGTAAAGTGTCCGGTTTCCGGCGCGAAAAAGTCGGATTTGTTTGACGCTCCTCAAGTTGGAACATCCAAGGAGTCAACGTCAGCAAATTCGAAAATTGCAGATTTGCCGTCAACAATTGAACGTTTTCTGCAAAAGGAAATCTGGCTGGAACAATGCCCGGAAGTTTTTCATAAAAACTCATCTATGATTACTTTCAAATAGAGCGAAAATACTGTAGAACTTTGTGTTTAGTTTCTTTGATATGGGGTGGTTTCAAAACCCCCGCTACTCAATTCGGTGGATAGTGATACTACTGGCTACTCTATGGGCTGTTGAACTCATTTTTGCTGACTCCGGAAAACTCACATTAGGATCCGGTAAGCTAAATATAAATACAATTTTAATTATATTCCTCAGGCGGACTGGAAGTAGGTTAATCGCGGGTTGCTTTTCTACGCGACTGTTGATATCCGCTAGTTAAATAAGGCAGAAACTGGCTAATTAGCATTTCTACAAAACGTTTTTCGAATGTTTAAGCAGGAAACTTTGGGTAAACCTTGTTTTCGTTCATTTCACTATGAGATTTATAATGAAACTAGTCGGTTGCACCTTAGCCGACATGGGAACAGGTTGAACGCCTTCAACATCTCAGCACGAGCGAACTATTCTTTGAATTTCAATTGCGACTACATACTGTATAGCTTGTAACGATAGGCGAAGGAAACCTTCACATTTCTTGACTGGAATCGGCTATTTATACTACTTGGGTATGAAAAATGTCTCGGAGGTTAATGTTTGCGTTGTTACCTTTTGCCCCACAAAATCAGAACTTTGAATTTTACCAAAATCTCAACTATCGATTGCCAGTTTCTTTGTTTTGGCAAAACGGCGTTTCTTCGGGAGTTTCCGATAAATTTAAAAATTTTCTTTTAAAAATGTAAAGTACACTAGACTAAAAAAATTGCTGGAAAGTGACTTGAATGTTCAAAAAAGAGGCAGGAGTTGTTAAAACTGAAGAACGGACGGTTTTTTTCTTTTGAAGTTTGAATTTGGTCAAGTTTTCGAAAATTTCGACTGCTCCATGAATTCAGAAGCTGCAAACAAAGGCAAGATTTTTTGGGGTAGAAGATTTTCAGAATKAATCCACATTTTTATCAGTTCACAAATTCCAATCGTCTATCCAAATTTCCATTAAAATCCAAGCAAATCTATTTCCATAAAATTTAAGAGATATTTTTTCCAGGCTAAATTAGGCCTATTCATACATTYATTCAAAGGCGTATTCATATAAATTTTTTCTCTGTAATTGGGAAATTTCCTGTAGCCTCAACTGTGTAATATGCTCTGCACAAATTCATCAAATTCAAACTAGTCGAGGTAAAGGGTTTACTTTTTTGATTTTGATCAAGCAAACCTCAGCTGTTTAGAAGATAGATCGCCAGCTTAGAAACATGCTCAAGATTCTGAAAAATCAGCAAATTGCCTGCCTCTGAAAAATATCTGCTTTTTAAAAAAAAAAGCATAAATTGGCATAGTTGTATTCGTTTTCCAAATCATCGTTCAAATTTGCTGTCACGTTTTCCGGCTCTTTTAAACGTTTGTGAATGATTGATGATGCAAAAACGTTCCGATGTATCTGCGAAGTCACATAGAATGATTTGCAAAGGTGCGAAGGAAACGACATCCTCAGGGTCAACTTTTGCAATCAAAATGTTAAAAATTCTTTAAATGATTCAGTCGCTTTTTGCTTGCAGGATTATCGCCTTGATTTCCAATAAAATCCTAACTAATTCATAAGGCAGAGGTTTTACTAGAAGCTGTTTGCCTTTAGAATGTTTCGACTTGATATCTACGTTTCAAAAAATACAAATTTTCAGGCTCAACAAAAAGTAACTGCGGCAATTCATTCATAATCTTCTCTCCATATTTTAGCGCTGCAGGAAACCAAATACGATTTAATAGAAATGAGAGAAAATAAGTGACAATTTTTTATGTATTTTCATTTCCTTCTCTTCTACTATAATTTCTATTTTTTATCGGTGACGTCGTCTGACGATCTGTTTATTCAAATCTAAACATTTCTTTATTAAATAAGGCAAGAGAAACCGGTAAAACCGGTGCCTTTACTACTTTGGCTACAAGACAGCCGAATTGAAAATTAAATATTAATGAAAACGTTTAATTAGCATTGTTTTGGCAGCAACTCTGAGATGAACAAAGATCTCGAATTGCTGTTTGCAGGAATTGCTTGCAAATTCAACCCACTTTTCAGTTACATTATCAACAGTATACCGTATGTTACAAGTTTTCGGGTTAAAACCAAAAAAACTGCTATCGATGCAAATTTGGCGCTCTACAAAAGTGACAGAAAACTATGTGGTTCGGCTCAAACTACAGATAAAAGTACTGGAATTCACCTTCCAAATAAGTCAAAGACTGCTAAAATAGGACAAGCGGTTTAAAAGTCAGGGCATTTTTAATTTTTAGAGATTCAATAGCTTTCCCCGCCCTTGATGCGCTCGATGCGTGAAAGAGTCTTGAAGTAAAATGATGCCAAATTACCCAAACTTCCTAACGGTATTATCGAAAATACATGCTGATTGAGAAATTTGCATAGATTGAAAAAGGGCACGATAACCAGTTTAGTAACAAAATTTTGTAAATTAAATTTCTATGTCCAGTAGTTTCCGAGATAGGGCAGGTGGCTCTCTTCACTAAACACCCTGTATAACCTCGAATCATTTCAGGAAAACTGTTGGTTTAAATTTTCGTAAAATGCTTATTTATTTTCACATGATTAATTAATTAAAATTGTCGTCAAATGGATCTGGAATGGATTTTTAAATCTTTTATAGTTTTGTGTTAAAATTCAATGTTTCGATTTCGAATTAAACCATCAAAGGAGGCGGAAAAAATTCTATTTTTTTTGCTACTGAAACTGAAAATCACCAACATTTGTCTCCTGCTTAGATTGAGCTTTTGGAGCTTGTGCGTTCATTATTTAAGCCCTCTGGGCCTAACAGAATAAAAGCTTGTGTCGATTGAAGTTTTCTAGAATCCATGGAACATTCTAGGAATAATAAATGTATTTCAAAGTAGCAGCTAAAACCCCCGGAATTTACACAGTCGAGTCGGCTTTTAAAGAATTTAATGTGCGTTTTAGTAGCAAAATGTAAAGATACTTTTCATTATAGCTGCTTCTTCGCTATTTCCATAGCCTGAACGTAATTAATGCTTTCTAGGGCACATTTATAATGGCTTTTATCTGCGATTAAGAGCCAGTAAAACAGCTAGAAAAATTGACTATTAAATGAATAAAAATTGAATCAGTATCCCAGTAAATATACACTCGGATAAAATGGGAAAAACGATCGAGGCCATCTTTATTTTACATTTTACTTTAACCTACTGTCTTACTTTCCTGCAAGCGGCGCATAGGAAAAAAACATCATTTTGTTTTTATGTAAGGAAATCGACCTCGTGTCGTTTTGATATTAGATGATCGTGCGTTATTCGGGACTTTTGATTCTCGTCCTTTCTCTAATCGAATGAAGCTTACAGCAAACGGGGGCGGAAACTTGCATCAAACACCCTGTAGAAATGCATTCGTATTGTATGCATAACGATAATGTTCTCGCATTCTTTTACTCCAAAGTGTGGGCGGTTACAGAGTTAATACCCATTCAAGTGTATTCAGCAACGAAAATTGAGGCACGCCTTAAACATAAATAATTGTTTTTCTTCGGTTTTCACTTGTGCAGTCTCATTGCGTGCCGGAACCCCAATGGGGTTCATTTTGATTTTCTTTTATCGTTGCATAAGTTGCGATGATGAGGAAGCTAGAATATGTTGATGGTGATTAAGTGCGCTTAATGTGCTTGTTTGCCTTGACTTCAAGTCCTGCTTCAAACCCCTTCAGTCGTTTGGTTTATTTGAAAATGCGTTTTGAAACTTGAATAATTCCTTATCTGGATGGCTGGCACGGGTTGATTCAAGGCTTTCTTTTAGTTGTTTAAGTGATTGATTTTTTAAAAGTCTTCGTGGCTTTTCAAGACTCCAGCTGAACAAGTTCTCGCCTTCTCGCAGTCTCGCACCGTTCGCAAGACATAACTGTACAGTTCCAATGGTAAAAATTACTTATTTATAGTTTGCTTAGCCCAATTTAATGCTCGATTTATTGAGTTTTTCAGCGTTTAGTGACCGTTCAATGGATTCAGCTATTTTATTAACTCGCTTTGGTACTGTTAAGCTGTTAAGTCCAGACAAGAGAATGCTTTTCATTGAAATGTTGCATATTCCATCGAACATGAAATTCCTTAATTGAAATCGATATTGGAGCCCGCAAAACCAACATTGCACACGCATGGCAAAACATCTAAGTATAATCGTGCAAATCTGGCTCCTATTGACTATGTTTCTATTGAAT